AAAAAACTGAATCTATTTCCCCTCCACACAAGCAAGTTGGATGAAGGAATCCCCCCTTCCCGCTGTGTCATTCTATTGTGACAGCAGAGACAGCTTTCTAACAAGCCCATCTAATGATCGACTTCTCAACAAAGGGAATGGCCATAGATGGATTAAATCAGCCAGTCCTTGCTGAATTTGCTTACTTATGATCCATCAATGGCCAGTTTATAACTTCAGCTGATGAGACCTGTGCAGAAGCAAGGGATAATATTCTATGATGACATACAGAGATTGCACAAAGGGAGTTGTAAAAGTTCAGAGGAGGGAAAGATGTTATGAGAAACACATATACTTATCTATGGCCAGCTCAAAATAACAGCCTATATCAACTTTATTATTTATATGGCCCACTTCAAACAAAGTGTTGGCATGATTATCTAGTTAAATTGAAGCACTTTGGTTGAATTTTCATGGTTGTGCTGGTTTCATCCCACAATCCAAACTCATATTGGGCAGGCTAATTGGCTTTTTCCAAACTTATTCTACAGTATATCCATTCTAGTATGACTTTTGTAAAGGCCTTCATTTGCAAGATCCACTCTGGCAAAGAATGAAGTGCATTGCTCCATGTACACTGTAATTTGGATATATGATGCTACAATCCATGTGTAATAAATAATTAGATGCTCAAAATGTAGTCACTCTTGTACCTAAACTGTGCCACTAAAAGTTCTGTTTTAATTCACCAATGACACGCTACAACCATTAATCTCAGCAAATCTATTTGCTCTCTTCAATATGTTTTACAATTCATATGTCAGCCAAATGGGAATTACATTTTCTTGGGATCCAAACCACATGTTATCTTGCTTTGTTTCGGTTACAGTTATGCTTAGGATTTCTTGTTCTGTATGCACAGATAGTTGATTCATATGTTACGTAGCCAACAGTCCTCTAGATGAATGATTTCTGCCATCCTTGGAGACACAGATCCTGCATTAAACAAGAGAGGCTCCTTATATCGTAAGTATTACTAAACAACTATGACAAGAACGTATGGTATATTTTACTTGGCTTTTTTTCATACACCATTCATTGAGGATAAAAAAGAAACAGACCATACATTTTTGTTATTAGATCAGCACTGGTATATGCATTAATTATAAGTGCCTCCAGAAAACAGGTTACCGATCCCAACAGTTTCTGCTGCACTGGAATTAACAAACGAAAGTCACTAACACAAATGCTTACTTACAATTACTTGCAATACAGTAATTATCCACAATATAGGCATATGAAACAAACAGGGCCATGCTCCTATAGAGAAAAGTTGGTCAAAAGTGCCTAAAAGTGTGTCCCAAAGTAGTATTAAACCCTCAGCATTATATAGCTTAATACATTGAGCACAATAAAGTAAACTGTTAAAACTCTTGCACTTGCAATTTACAACTTTCAGTACTGCTGGTTCTTTCTCTCTCAGTGCTGTTTCGCTGAACTTCCAGCCTTCATAGGAAATAGTTAACCATGGACAGTGCAGTTTTGAGTCAGTCTGTTAGTTTGGAGAAGGGAGGGGGAAGGTGGAGGGAGGAACAGGGAAGTACCTTGCCTTCCTAGGTTACAGGGCTGTGTGTTTATATGGATGCACACAGTATAGGAAGATACAGCTCCAATCCCTGCAAGGATGGCTCCATTGAATGATGCAAGAAAAGGGGCCACCCTGAAACCAGAGACCTGGGGCAGTGGTCATGCTTAAACAGCAACACAGGCAAGGATTAAAAGATAAAGAAGCTGCATACTCAGTAAGTGAATAAATCAGCTGCTGAAAGTACTTAAAAAGCTGATGGTTTAAGATCAATTTAAAGTGAAACTTCATGTAGATGTAAAAGATACAGTTCTACATTCATTGATGCATCCGTAAATGTATTTTTTAAATGTAAGCAGTTTTGACTTGGTATCGGCCTCTTACAATCCCTGTACAACAGACTGGGGAAGGGAGAAGCAGCAAAAGAGGTCAATCAGCTGTCCTGCTCATTTGCTAACAAGGAACATGTAGACAGAAGAAAACACAGTAGCATAGAAATAAGCTTCTCACAAATCCCTTTGCGAAAAATAATTGACTATACCTTGCAACCACTGGTACAAGCACTGCCTTCTCATACATGGGATACTGAACATTTCCTTGCGAAACTTGTCATGACTTAGAACTTTGAACCATCTTGAACACTCTTAACAATGGACAATTCCATTCTGTATACTTGCATTCATGCCTCTATGGGTTTAAACACTGTTTAATATTTTCTGTTTCACAGGGAATATGTCATTATACTCTCTCACTTGGTTTTGGAAGGCCTGCCTTCCAATACTACATTCAGACAACAGGCATTGCAATGGGCCTCTCTGTATACCTCTGTGACCCACACTTTGTGATTTAAAAAATTGGGGTGAGATACATAGATGACATCTTTATTGTCTTAACAGGTCTCAAAGATGGAATAGATTACTTTGAATTTCCTCAATTCCTTGGTTAATGGTATAATTTTTAACAAAGAACTATCCAATTATTATATCCCTTTTCTCAATATCAAGGCACAGGTCAGTGACAATTGCTTAGAAATTGCATTTTATACCAAGCTCACAGATAGGAATACCCTCTTCTACTAGGGTGCACTAACTTGAAACATAACTTACCAATTTCATAGTTCCTCAGGGTAATATACTGTATATATATATATATATATATATATATACACATACACACAGTTTGTATTTTTTTTCTTACCCTTCTGATCATGAGCACCACCAAACAGGTATTGGAAATCTGGAGCTTTGGGTTACCTCAAACACATCCTAGATCACACCTCACAACAGTCTCAGCAGAGAACCAAGTATCCAAACCACAACATGCAAACACTGCACAATCCTACTATTGACACTTAGATTTACCCCCACCAGGAAAGTCTATTAACAACAAGAAGAAAGAGAAGAAACAGTTGCCAGTTTTTAAACAACCACCTTTAGTGGTGTATTCCACAAGTAGAACACTTTAGAACTTCCTGATACATGTGGAACCCAGGTATAAATATGACATATTGGGTCTCATGCTTTTTGGAGATTGGGGTTGTGTTATAGATATACAGAAAATAATACAGATTATAGCTGTAACATTTGTATCACCATGATTCTTGGGGAAATCTTTTACCACCTGCTAGAGATTAGGTTTGGTTTTGAGTTGAACTTCAACCCAAGTTTTGTTTTTCTTTAGATATTAATAGAGTGGGGCAGAGTTTAAATTTCAGATTTCAATTTCTGACTGTGACCCTATTAAAAAGACTTTGCCTCACATTCCGTCCCTGTGGTGTCCATACAATAAAAAAGGGTAGTAGGTGTTACCAAGAAAGAAAAATAGTACAACATTATAAACACTGTCAAAAGTTCTAACACTTTATCACTCAATACAAATGTGTTTTTGTCTGTGTCCCATTGTGTAGGTTTCCCATCACTTCTTATTTTGAAAGCTGGCCATACACTTGTAGATTTTTTAATTCAAATTTGTACAATTATTTATAGGAACATTCATACAAAAATTATCATCAGTATATTCGAAGATCTGATGAATGTCGTTTAATAGTACCTAAAAAAATTGCATTTGAAGTTACATCTACTGTCAGAAATTTGCTCATTTGAGAAAGATTTTCCATCCTGTTCTTATGATCTTTCCCTTCACTGTGGTTACAAACGAATGTTGATTTGACCCTACTAAAAATTAAAAAAAATTTAATGAATGTACTTAAAATGAAACATTCGTCAAACTCTTCCCTTATGTGTTCAAAACAAATAAGAGAAGGTTTGGTTGTAGTTGGCCTAGAAGTGCTAGTTTTAGGGTTACAGAGAGGGTTAATATGAAGACAACCTTAGAATTTCAGCTTTCATCATAGACGGTATAGCATACTTTTTGTCATGAGAGTTCTGCCTAGAATGACTAAAATATGCCAATTTGTACAGCACAACATATGAGAGTGTAACAGAGTTTTCTACAGCAACAGTTTTTTGTTCAGAGTCATTAACAGGCAACATTAGCCTAACCTTAGGTGGGCAGATCCCATAGAGTAACAAGTACAACTTCTGCCAATCAGCATCTCCCAATGTCAATACTATCACACTAGTTTGCGCACTTTTCATGGAGTGGAGCGTCTGGCCGATGACATCATCATGCTTTAATTGAGCACAGAGAGTGTGAAGAAGCTGGTTAGCTGCAGCAGGTCTAGCAGTGTTTCAATCCCAGCAAGTGATGAGCCAAGCTAGTGTCATTCATGTCATTAATATTGCACTGTGATTTTGAATTTCATCTTTACACCGTATATATATATTAATTGCATTTTTTTTTTTTTATATATGTGTGTGTTTATATTTTGTATATTTGGATTGATAGTGCAGCACTGATTAATGAGTTATGAATTATCATGTATAAGGCAGATATAATATTTCTAATGCAACAGCCATTATGTTGGCATATACCTACAGCGTTTTCTTCCCTTTAGTAAGGAAATACATGATTGGGTGTATTGTGAAGTCTTAATCATCTGTTTTTAAAAGTGGAATTTCCCAATTCAAATCAATACAAAAGGATTGTCAATGGAGTATATTCATATTTTTAGCAATGCATTATTTGGAGGAAAAAGATCTTACAGCTAATACATAGGGGTTGATGTACTAAAAGTAAATAGACTGTGTGCTTTGCAAGTGCAATTGAACTCATTTTCCCCAGAGCTTAGTAATTATAGTGAAGCTCTTCTGATTTCCATCATCCAATCATCTGAAAGCAAAAATGCTGTTTTTTCCCCCCTTGCACCTGATTATGTATCCTTTACAAAATGAAGCTTTACCACATTCACAAAACTCTGGGGAAAATTAGTACAGATGCCCTTGCAAAGTCTATTTATCTTTAGTAAATCAACCCTATAGTTTTCTGCAAAAAATGTATTTTTATAAAATACTATGGAGGATGGATATCAGTACTTAAGTGTTACCAAATCCACAACAGTAAAATCAGTCTGTATATGCAGTAAAGCCTGCTTGTTATACTCACTGTGGAACCTAAGGGGTTAATCCTCAGAACTGTGTAAAAAGGATGTTTGATCCTGTCTTCTCTAATCCTCCCCCTCTTCCAGTGTCTCCTAAATATCCTCTGATAGAACAGAGGCTCAGGGGCAAGCTGCACATGTACAGTTTGGTGTGTATTGCTAGAGAGGTTTTTTTTTTTCTTGGGATAGTGCATGTGATCAGTACAGGGCCAATCAGCACACTCCAGGCAGAGGTCAGGGGTCCTGCATCCTCCTACAGGAGAATGAAAACTCCTCCTACAAGCTGTAACCAGTGCTCTGCTGGGCACTGATAGAAGTCATAAGACTGCTCTAACTGCTGATGAGAAAATGTAATTAGCAGTTTATATTTACTAAAATAATTGCATTTCCATGTTCTGTGTACTGTGGGAGACCAGATATAGTGAATGCAGGGTCCTGGGTTTAGTGACACTTTAATGGATCATGTATTCATAATAGGAAAACTATTCTATATGCAGGGGTGTGTATCAATGTGTTCACCAAAGATTCACACATTTTTTCAATTCCAATTTAAAATGTGAATCTTGGATGAAAGTTGTGTAAATCTTAGCTGAAAAGATGCTTTATACATCAAATAAGCTAGGTGAATTGGTAAAAATCTCATTATTATTATTAATCGCCTCCGCACTGCTCTATAGCAGAAATACTGCTACAGGGCAGCACGGGTGCGCGCAAAATCATGTATATATATATATATATATATATATATATATATACACGTGATTTTGCAGTTCTGGGTAGGGGGCCTACCCACGCCATTCGTGGCCTCGGCTTTCAATCACCGGATTCCCTGCCGGTATCCAGCAATTGCTGGGTATCAATGATGGGGGAAGAGACCTGTGTATAAACAACACAGATCTCTCCCCTGTAAGCTCCTGCACACTGCTTTGTATGGCTCTGCAAAGTAGAATACATTTTGGTCTAAATTTAGGATGAAATTAGATTTTTAAATTTTTTTTACTGGACATGTTTAATAGCAAAAAGTCATGAGAAGAGAGGGGAGGGGCCGAGCCACGACTCCATGTGTGAATGGACACATGGAGCAGCAGGTGCCCCCATAGCAAGCTGCTTACTGTGGGGGAACCCGACAGGAGGGATGGGCCAGGAAAGCAGCAGAGGACCCAAGAAGAGGAGGATCCGGGCTGCTCTGTGCAAAACCAGTGCACACAGCAGGTATGCATAGACATGTTTGTTATTTAAAAAAACAAATGCTTTAGAATCACTTTAACCACTTCAATACCGAGCACTTTTGTCCTCTTCCTGCCCAGGCCAATTTTCAGCTTTCAGTGTTGTCACACTTTGAATGACAATTGTGCGATCATGCAACACTGTACCCATACAAAATATGTATATTTTTGTTACACAAATAGAGCTTTCTTTTGGTGGTATTTAATCACAACTGGGTTTTTTATTTTTTGCTAAATAAACAAAAAAAAACCTGAAACTTTTGAAAACAAAATGTGTTTTTCTTTACTTCTGTTATAAAATTTTGCAAATAAATAACATTTCATAAATTTAGGTCAAAATGTATTCAGCTACATTTCTTTGGTGAAAATACCCCAAAGTTAGTGTATATTATTTAGTCTGTAGGAAGGTTATTGAGTCCACAAACCATGGTACTGTATATATTTCTGACAATTGAGCAATCCTGATGTACTGACGGACAATCTCATTTCTTGAGGCTCAAAAAAGCCAGGATAGTACAAATATCCCCCAAATAAGCCATTTTTGGAAATAGACAGTCCAAGGTATTTAGTAAGAGGCATGGTGAGTTTTTTGAAGTTATCATTTTTTATTGTCACCAGTCCAGTACAGCATTATTATATAACTGGTGTTGCGGTGATCAGGGACAATGACTAGCGACAGTATGTAAAAAAAAATAATAATAATTTTATTTTAATTTTAATTGTTTTTTTTTTCAATTTTTCTATTTTTTTTATTGTTTTCTTCAACACACTGCGACCAAAGTAATAGTATGTTACCATAGTAACATTGAACTACTCTGGGCCATTGATCAGGATTTTTTTTTTCTTTTTTTTTACACATCATGATTGCTAATACCAATGTAATTCATTGATATTTGCAATCATTGTTACTGAATGAAACTGATTCATTCAATCTTTTGTTGTGATTAGCTGTGATTGGGCAAAGCTCATTACATGATACAGATGGGCTGTGATTGGCTCTGTCTGTACCATGTGATTGCTTTGACCAATCACAGCTAACACCACAATTGTACACAATGGATGACATGATAGGAAGCCATCCATTGTAGACAAATGACATGTGATCTGCTGTGATTGGTCACAGTTGGCACGTGACACTGGCAATAGGCCGGTGTAGTGATATGTCATCGGCTGTGTCCCGTGGACACAGATGGTGACAGATTGCTTGGCCGCATGAGTGGCTCCTTCTGACAGGACGTCATATGACTCCCACTCAAAAGACGAAGAGTGTCCCACCCGGCCGTCAATCTGCTATAGGCCAGGCAGGAAGGTGTTAAAACAGTATTCCAGCTTGGACCAAAGTATACATATGCCACACCTGTAGGACTACTGTGAAAACAGAGAATCCCTATTGTAGTCACCGCTACTACAGTGATCACTGCTGTCTTCTGGTTGTTGCGCCAAGCAGCTGCCCTGCTCCACAGTGACACACTGGGAGTTGCTCGCACAAGCATCATTCACAGAATGCCTTGCATTTTTCTCAATGAATACAAAGTGTTCTGTAAATGGGTGAGGTGGAGAGGCAGGATGGTGACATGACAATCCTTACCCCGATCAAATCAGAGAATGCCTTACATCCAGGTTCTCAAATGTGTCAAGATTTGACTGGGTATAAATGCTCAATAAAACTTGAATACATGATCAGTAAAAGAACATGAATACAAATTACCTGAAAACAGCTAAAAAAAGAATAGAAAGAAACAAATACAAATTTTGAAGTATATGTAAACTCAATTACTAGCATCTCCTATAAGCTTTAATATGTTAATGGGATTAAAGTATAAAGTCTTCCATACAGTACATGCTTGAATTTTGGTTCATTCTTGCTGGATCAGCTGACTCATGAAAAGATAATTTTTTTTAATCAACTTTTTTCAAAGGAACAAAAACTGTTGGCCAAACAGCATCTGTACCCAGTAAGATGCAGTCACTGTTCGGTTATTGACAGGCATAGGTGCCAGCTATCAGCAGGGCCAGATTAACATAGGGGCTATTGGAGCTGCACATACAGGCCCCTACCTTAATATAGGCCCAGCCACCCAAAAAGAACAGGGGGTGCACAGAAAGCAATGGACCAATGGGGAAAGATCTCCCCTGACCAATTTGCTTGCTCCGCCCTTGACCCTCCCCCAATACTAAATGAGCAGAAAGTCCTGCTTCCCATGTGAATAGTAAAGATGGAAATCCCCAGCCATGCACTCCTATACAGCTGTAGGCCTCGCACTTCCATGGAAGACTGTCACTATGTGGGCGGTGCCACCCATCCCTCTCGCACTCACATACAGCTGTAGGCGGCCTCCCCTCCCCTGCTGTCCAGCCTACAGTCAGGCCCACCTCAGGCAGCAGTCACAGTTGGTGAGGCTCCAGTGCAGACAGCACAATGTCCTGTTCTGCTCTTCTATATTGTGGCCACTGCTGTCCTCCTTTTATAGTATGCTGGGACCCCACCTTTCTGCACCTATACTCTGTTTTGTGTCCCTGGGGGGCCACACTCTGCTGCATCTACCTGTATTTTGGGGCACCCGGGGGCCATATTCTGCTGTTCTACTGTATTGTGTTTTGGGGTCCAAAACTGTGCTGCTCTGTTTATACTGTATGTTGGGGCCCCTGGAGTACAACACTGTACTGCTCTTCTATGCATTGTCTGAGGGCCACTGCCTTACTACATAGTTACATAGTTAGTCTGGCTGAAAAAAGACAAAAGTCCATCCAGTTCAACCATAGAGACAAACTAACAATGGTTTTGCACAGAGCAGCCCCGATCCTAATCATCCTCCCACCAAGTGCCCCCATACCAAGCCACTTGCTATGGGGGTACTCATGTGTGCTCGCTCCTGAGACGGCTCTGTGTGTTCATAAGACACACAGAACCTAATTATGCCCCGCCCCTGCTTCCTCCTCACTGGCTGTAGTTAACAGCAGCAAGAGCCAATGGCTTCTTCTGCTGTATCTGAGCCAATAAAGATAGAGAGAGCCGCCGGGAGAGCTACTGCTCTTGTGCACATCACTTGAGCAAGATGAGGCTCAGGTAAGTATAAGGCACGGGGGGGGGGGAGCTTGGGGGAGTAGCGGCATACCGAAGTTATAAGTAAAAAAGGACAGGTGCAGCGCTAAATAGTGATGAGCGATTAGATGAATATGTTATAACGATATAAAGACGATATAAAACACACATTTCTATAATAATATTACAAGTGCAGGTAAGCGATATCCCCTATTGGTGATTTCCAGTGATTAGATTGTCCAATATGGTGAAAACCGTGTGGATCCAGAGGGATCACAATTCCAAGTGTGTGGATATCTGATCCGGGAGTGACAGATGCTGTGTTTCAAATTAATGAAATGCGCACTCACCAGAAGTGCGTTTAAAATACGCAATATGAAATCCTGCGTCACCACGCAATTAGTGGGTCATCTGTTCCCTGGTCAGGTCACACATCGTATCACCAACTGGTCTCCTCGGTATAAAGATTCCGGAATCCCTTGATATGTATCACCATCTGGGGTCATCTTTTCAGAATGGGCACTGCGAATGATGGCACTCACACGTAGAGCCCAATAAGGGACACCACATAGTGTGATACTGTATAGGGTACCTTTATTCCAGACAATGAATATGTATGCAAGACAATAAAAAGTTACTGACCATGTATTCAGGATGGCCACCAGCGGTGGTCAGATGTCCAGTTGCGTTTCGTGCAAAGCACGTAGTCATAGGGAATGCATGAAGGTAAAAACCTTCAGCCTTTGCAACTACTTTAAGTAACAATTAAGTAATTAATAATAAAGTAATAATTAATTATTAATTCTGTAATTTTGAAAATGGGAAAGTGAAGCCATTGCTGGGGAGCCTGCATGAAGACCGGAAGTGGAT